TTCCTACTTAAAGAGTATCACAATACTAGACTCTATGTGTCTCCGAGTGGATGTATACCCTCTGAACTTAACTAGACAAATAATTTAATTTAAAATTTAATATACTACAATTAAATATTTCGCTTCTAAAATTTAAATTTAACATCAAATTCTCTATACACATAAGATAAATTAAACATAAATTTACATTTTAAACTCGGAAGTAAAGTACTAAGAGGTTAATAAACCGTTACAATTGAACACAGTTGTTTCAATAGAGTTAACCTTTAGCAATAGTAAATAGGTATTCGGTAATATTAAATAATTATATAAAAGCCCTGATAATGGAATCTTTTCATTTGGCATTAAGATTTTAAACATAAAACGAGTAAATGGCTCAATTTTCTACAATTTGTCTTAAAACACTAATAGTCTTACTATTTCTACAAATACTAACAACAAATGCTGTCAAATATCGCATAGTGGGTGGTAAACCTACAACAATCAATAATGCAAAATATATAGTATCACTGCGTGAAAGAGATGGCACTTTCTTTTGTGGCGGAACATTGGTTAAGGAACGTTATGTGATAACAGCAGCTCATTGTGTGAAGAACTTGAAAGCTAGAAATATTAAGGTACATGGCGGTGCCACCTACTTGAGTCAACGAGGTGTTAGACGTTCTGTGGTGCGCATTAGCGTACCAAGTGCTTTTACCTTTAGTTCATCCAAAATTGATGTGGCCGTATTAAAATTGGACAGACCAATGAGAGGTAGAAACATTAAAACAATACCTTTATGTTCTCGCCGCATTCCACCCCGAAGTTTGGTCAAAGTTTCCGGTTGGGGTTTAATAGATGAAAATGCTCCATTGGCTTCAAATCAATTACGTACGGTCAATGTTCGTATGATGGGTCATAAAAAGTGTAAAAGGGATTATAAATCTGTGCTTAAAATTACAAATACCATGATGTGCGCTGGTGCAACGGGAAAAAAAGATTCGTGTACTGGGGACTCTGGTGGTCCACTAGTCTATCGTGGACAGTTATGTGGTGTTGTGTCATTTGGTATCGGTTGTGCTCGTAAGAAATTTCCAGGTGTATACACTTCGGTAAATATGGTTAAAGGATATTTGAAAAGGTCAATGAAGTAGTGATTATAAACCAATTTAAAATACTCCCAATACTATTTTATCAATAATATCGTCAAAATTAATAAATATGTTTCATTTACAAATTTAGTCCTTTTTTTCTGCAAAAACAACAATATTCATATGATCTTAAATCATTTACTTTAGGAAGATTGAAAACATGTTTATATCGAAAAATAAGCTTATTTTGCGATCACCCATATTTTTATTCAAAAATCGATTTTCTTGGTCGAAAACCTAAGAAACCTTAAATCGTTTATAACTTCGTTAAAACACGTTTTTTAACTTCGTTAAAACACGTTTAAATAGAAAAATAAGCTTATTTAGTGATCACCCATATTTCCATTCAAAAATCGCTTTTTTTGGTCAAAAACATAAAAAACCTAAACCGCTTATAACTTCGTTAAAACACGTTTAAATCGAAAAATAAGCTTATTTTGTGATCACATATATTTCCATTCAAAAATCGATTTTTTTGGTCGAAAACCTAAGAAACCTTAAATCGTTTATAACTTCGTTAAACACGCTTAAATTGAAAAATAAGGTTATTTTGTGTCACCCATATTTTCATTAAAAAACCGATTTTCTTGGTCTAAAACCTAAGAGAATCGCTTATAACTTCGTTAAAACACGTTTAAATTGAAAAATAAGCTTATTTTGTGATCACCCATATTTTCATTCAAAAATCGATTTTCTAGGTCGAAAACATAAA